TGATGCGTCAGATCGGCTCGGGTGGGCTAGTCGCGGGCCTGTACATGGTTATTTGTCTTCCGACTCCCCCTCTGTTTACCCTCTCTTGCACCCGCGCGCCCCTCACAGCCCATTTCTCCGCCCTCCGAACGTCTCGCGAGCCTAGCCAGCCATGGCGGATCAGTCAGCACATTTGAACCCGCTCTCGGTGCGTAGCGGAGATTCCCATGGCCCATTGTCCGCTCTCTGGTTCCTCTCAGGGGCAATGGGTATCTGCTTTGGTGGCTCTCATGGCTGACAGTTGTGTCTCATCTCACTGTGTGTAGTGCAAAAGATGCAAACACAGAAAGGTCAGTCTGTATTCTCCCCGGCGAGAGCGCTGTTGACGAGCATCAACTGACGGGCTGTCTTCGAAATCATCAGGTCAGGTGTAGTCGGGTGATGCCGACATGCGATAGATGTAAAACACACGATATCGACTGCGTCTATCCTCAACGGGTCAAGAGGAAAGTGACCAAGACCCTGACGGACCGCCTCTCGTAAGTCTCCGCCCCTCTACTTTCCTCCGTGCCGTCTCTCCGATGGCCAGATTTACGAGAGATCGTTGGCTCAAACTCCGTTTCTTGGCGACTCCCTAGCACAACGGATGACGCGCTCTCGACCATCCTGGAACGGTTACAGCGCGTCGAGGAGCACTGCACCACGCTGCCCAACGGGGGCCAAGCCGTTGGCTCTCTAGATGCCGCACCCCCTGCTCCCGCGTCTGATCCTCCCGCCCCGCTGCGGCACACGTCAACATCCAACAGCGCGCCGTCCAACGTCTCCTCTCCGGCTCCTTCGAGCGCGGCGGTGGTGGCGTCCCCCTGGACGTCTTTCGCCACCCCGAGCGCGACTCCTGAGATTGACACGGCGGCCATCTTGAAAGATGCCGTTGATCAGGTTCAACGACTGAGGTTACAGACTATTGCTACCGCGACCATCACTGAGAATGTCACTATCCCGCCAGAATTGTGCAAACAATGGATCGAGAGTACGTTGGAACTTTAAGCCCGTCAATCCTTTGATCATTACTCATTGTGTTACCAGATTACTTCACTCACATGCAAACGGAGATGTTTGTGAGTTTGATAAATCTCAAACTCATCAAGCTGATCCCCGACTTGCTTGATCTTCCTCATGTTCACCTAGATCCGGCTATTCTCGTGGTTTACTACGGTATTCTCTACCACGGCTGCGCTCTTGGGGCAACTTTTGAGGGCAATGCCGGCAGCGGCTTGCAGTATGTGCGCATGCTGTATCTGTGTTGTCTTCGTTCCCTGCCTCTCTGGCAACGGGAAGCAACAGGGACAACGACAGACTTCACAGCTGCGATCTTCATGGTGAGCTTCGCACCAAAAAGTACTCCACTTACCGAATGGTTTGGTTAACTCAATATGATTTACAGTGTCGCACAGCTGCGGAATGCTTCGACGAAGAGCTGAGCTGGCGGATGTACACCTACGCCACCGACTATGCCCAGAAGCTGAACATTCACAACCTCGACGCTCACACAGAAGGCACCAGCGTTCTTCTAGACCAGGCCAAACTCGATGCCGACCGGAAGGGTTTCTGGGAAATGATCCAGATCGACTTCTTCTTCCGCCTACTATTCAACAAGCCACCATCAATCACCGCCAGCATCAACTCCTGGAAGGTCAACCTGCCCTGGCTGTCAGCAGACGCACAACCCGACATCAACGCCGTGCCCACCATCGCTTTCCTCGTCGGGTCCCGCCAGACCTTCATTCTCTCACGATTCTTCCAGGAGCTCGAAAACAGCAACTGCACCGAGGAGGAGATGCGGCCCAAGACCGAGGACCTCTGCCGCGAGATCGGCCAGCTCTTCGCGGAGTGGGGTGTCGAGGAGTGGGTGACCAAGACCATGTCCAGCGAGAACAAGTCGGAGGCCTGGATGATGAGCGACGTCGCCATGTCGGGCTACACGTACGTCATCTTCATGCTGCGCAAGCTCTCTGTGCTGCGCTCCAACTCGCCGCGCCCCGTCATGTCCGATGCCGATGTGCCCGACTCGCCGCTCGCCGTCGACGCGTCGCGCCGCCTGCTGAGCGTCGTCCACATGGTGCTGGTCAAGAACCCGTTCCCGGAGACGATGTGTGTTCTGTTTGGCATTTATCGCCTGTACGTCGCGTACGCGTGTTTGATGAACAGCGTGTTGCATTCGGCCGATGTACGCGCGCATATGGACGACGTTGCGCTGCTTGAGCAGGTGTGTGATGTGATGACAGTTGCGTCGAGAGGGGAGAAGGACTTTGTGCCGCTGATTAGGGCGATTCAGAGCTTGGGGATGGAGGTCAAGAGGAGGCTTAATGAGCCGGGGACGACTATCACCACACCGATGTTGGGCCTGGGAACTTGAGACTGTTACGATTCATTGTGGCGTTTTTTCTGTTCGTCATTCAGCCTGTTATTTCATGGAGATTTGTACAACCATGGTCATTACGGAAAATGGAGTGCGGCTCTTCTGGTTTGCCATCGGTGGTGAAATCGGGTATCATGACCTTGCTGGAATATCTCGGGGTGCTGTACATGATTTCAAAATAGATATGGCTAAGATATTGGAATTCATTGAATGATCATTACGCTTAGTATTACTGCCCTCCGTATTAAGTTATTGTAGAAGAGGGTCGTCCTTCAGTGACTGCTCGTACGCTTTCTCTATCAGCTCCGTTCTTTCAAGACTTCTCGGCTTGAGATCAAAATCGAAGTGCTTCGGCTGAACGTTGAAACCCTCGACAAAGTTGTAAACAGGGGGTATAATCTCCTCTCCGGCAGAATTCTTGGCTCTGTTGACGTTGCAACCCCAAGCCAGCATCGCGATCTTCAGGTTGAGACTCCTCTCGGCAATGTTGATACCCTGGCAAATTCTTCGGCCATGGCCGAAGGCTGAGTAGTTCTGCAGGTTGGGGTACTGCGTCAGAGGCTCTTTGTACGTCGGGAAAGACGGGTCTAGCCAGCGGTCAGGGTTGAAGGCTTCAGGGTCGGGGTACTGCTCCGGATCTCGCTGGATAGCCCACTGCACGGCATGCACAACAGTCCCCTTCTTCAGGAAATAGCCGTTGTAAGTGTCGTCTTCCGTCAAGCGATGGGGGAATCCTCCGGCGGTGATGGGGTAGACGCGGATCGTCTCCTTGACGCACGCTCTCACGAGAGGCAGCGCCGCAATGTCGGTGAAGGTGGGTAACCTGTCGGGCCCGACGACTGAGTCAACTTCCTTCTGAAGCTTCTCAAACCAACCAGGGTTCCGCATCATGCACAACACAAATGACGCGAGCGCCGACCCCGAGGTTGTGGCCGCGGCCTGGAACACGGACCCAAGCATCCAGTTCGCCTCGCGCCGCGTGAGGCCCCACTGCTCTTTCGTCTCAAGCCAGTTCCGCGCCCACGACGGCGACTTGCTGCGGTCAATGAGCTCGTGGAAGAAATCCTCATCGCGCCGGCGGCGTGCGCGGAGGTACTTCTTCCAGGGTGCGAGCCATTCGGGCACATACATGAGCGACGGGAACAGGTCGACCAGGTACGCCCCGGGCGACCCGACGCGCTCGAGCTCGTGGACGATGTCGAGAATCATCCTCGCGTCGCGGTCATGCCCGCTCTCCAGCCGCAGGCCGTAGATGATGCGCAGGCCGAGGCCGACGCTGAAACGCTCGAAGAGCGCCTCGTAGTCGCTGGGGTCGCGAATCAAGTCGCGCAGTAGACGGATGCCCTCGATCTTCTGCTCCGTTTCGTAGAGCGGGGCAACGGGGGACATTGTCACCTGGTGCAGGAACCGGCGGTACTTGCGCCATTGCTCGTCATACGGGAGCAGCAGCAGCATGTGGTCGTCCGTGAGGAGGTGCGAGGACGCGGGCGCATAGTGGCGGTCGCTGTAGATGTTACCGCGCTGGCGGAGGAGGTCGTTGGCGGCGGTCTCGGTGCCGAGGAGGACGTGCTCTTGGCCCGGGATGGAGAGGCGGACGATGGGGCCGTGCTCCTTGATGAGTTCGTGAAAGGCGAGCCACGAGTGTACCGGGGGGATGGAGAGGAGATTACCGATGAGGGGCTTCGGCTTCGGGCCCGGCGGGAGGTCCGTTCCCGGTGGGAGTTGTTGCTGTTTCCTTGGCTTCAGGGCGGTGAGGATGAGGGCGAAGAGGATCGCGGCCCCGGCTGCCAGGTACGGGTTCACGACGCCGCCCAGGGAGGGAGACATCTTTGAGCGGGTTCTACACGATGATGGCTGGCGATGGTTGAGATGTTGCGTGGGACACGTCTCATTCACCGGGTTCTGTCTGGCTCGCCCGAGCGAAGATCTTCATGTGGGAATGTGGAAACAAACTCCTTCAGCAACGGGGTTTGTGACTGCCGACAGGTCTTTATGCTGTGACATGGTCCCATGGAGGGCCCCCGCATCATAGTAGCTCTTTGTTATCAGTGTAGACCCCCACTCATGGACAGGCGATACCAATTAGAGATGGTGGCTTGGAAATACGGCCTTAGCAACGGTAGTGCCAGATGTAGTGTCGGGTAGCTCGAGTCATGTCCGTCAGTAAGTAGCAGCATATCAAGCACGTATTGTAAGTCTTGATATCCGTCATTAGATTCCATATGTTGCTGCCAACAATAGAGCTTTGTTGCCGATGCGCCAATGTGGCACAGCAGTGAACCACATGGTTTGTGGGGCAGGTGGCCCAAGCTTCGAGACCTGAGTTGGATGATGAACAGTAGATCTTCAGATGTTCAGAATCAGTTCGTTATCTGAGACATCGGTCTTTGAAGTATGTCTAGGAACTTTGGGCCTGGAACCTCGAATCGGGTGGTGGTACCATCACAGTCTGGATGCGATGAGGATTTCAAAACAGAAATGTTTGCGCAGACTAATTACTACAAGTCCCAGAATTCACCAACTTCCCTTGGGACTTGTCATCGCCTTCACGCAATTTTGACCCATGCCGTGAGAGCCCGTAGAGTGTACTTCGGAAGCTTTCTCACCTTTTGATCAACTGTACCAATGTTTTTTGCGCTCTAGATTTGAGCGTTGGCTTAGTCGTCATCCCCGCATGTTGGTCATGTTCGACGGTGGCAGACTCGAGTCTCCGAATGATTTCCTCACGCTTTGCCCTAAGCAGTTGACGCCGTTCAGTGTTAAATTCGTTGAGATTGTTAATGGGGCGGGTCAGTTGATCTTGGGCATATTGCAATGGCAACTTGCCAAACTTATTTTCTGTCGAGATCCTGGCTCCATGTTTGACAAGAAGATCAACTGCCTCCACCTCCGTGTATCGTATTGCGTAAAAAAGGGGGGTTTCTCCGTTCTGCGTGACATTGACGTCGGCGCCCCGGCTGAGAAGCAACTGCAAGATCTCACCACGCCTTGCGTGAATGGCGTGGAAAATCGGTGTTTGACTTTCGAAGTCTTTGGCTTCAAGGTTTGCGCCTTTCTCCAAAAGCAATGCAACAACCTGACGATGGCCACACGTGGAAGCAAACGCTAGCGGCGTCCCGCCATCTTTACTGTCTGACAACTCAGTGTCGGCGCCTTGTTGGAGGAGAAGTCGGACGATTTGGTCATGGCCGTTCCTGGCAGCCAATAATAACGGCGTTCGGCGACTTCCATCGGTTGCATTGACGTCAGCCTTTCGGCTTAACAAACAATTAACAACGTCGTGGTGGCCCATATATGCAGCAATGGCCAACACAGGGCAGTCGGCTCGAAATCCAACGCTGTTTGGAAGACAAGGCAGGCCTTTTTCATTGACATTGGCTCCATATTGGAGCAAACATTCAACAATGCCAGCAAAGCCCAGACGGGAGGCCACAGCTAGGGGAGGCTCATTTTGAGCTGTTAAGCGCGATCTAGACTGATTTTGAAACCCGCCTCTTACGTCTGCTCCCTTTTCCAACAGCGTTCGGACAACTGCACAGTGATTCGCCTTCACTGCCACATCTATCAGAGTCTGGCCGTTTCTGGTATGAAAGCTGATGGATGTCTCTGTCTTCAGCAACATCAGCAGGGCTGCATGGTGCCCCAGCAGGGCTGCTGTTGACAAGGGAGACTGTCCACAGCTGTCCGAGCGGTTCACAGCAAATCCTTTGGATAAGAGTGACTCCAGCACTGGAATATTGTCTGCAGCAACTGCCAGGGATAGAGCACCTCGCCCTTCAGAATCTTCGATAGTATTATCAACTTCGAGATATTTCCAGAGATATTCCATGGCCGCGGTATGTCCACCGGTAATTGCAAGTATGAACGCTCTTCGCACGATCTTAGGAATATTGTCAGTTGAAGGAGTGTCGCTCAGCTGAAGATCTCTACAAAGACTGATCAACATCAAGCGATGCCATTGTCTCTGTCTACTCTCAGAGTGCGCCATCAACTCTTGGATCGAATGGGATTCCAGGGAAATTTGGGACTGGATTGCCTCCTTTTCTCCTAGGAGATCGAGAAAGAGTGGATCTTGAGCTTGCTCTTTTCCCTCCAGTGGTTTCTTGAACCCCGACAAATTCAAGCTGACCGGCCAACTCTTTGCAAATAGTTTCAAGAGTGAGTCTGTGTGTGCAAGTATCTTCAGCTCCTGATCTGCGTCCACCACGATGTCCATCAACTGTGACGGTGTCGCCGGTGTTGCCAATGTAACCATATAAAGTTTCGAACCGGGCAAATCCTGCGAGAGCTTAATTCCCAACGTCAAAGAGTCGTTGCTTGCAATCCTGCTGCCCAAAAAGCCATCTGAATCGACTGTTGCTCGAGCAATTATGTCAAGAGCCGTGTCCCTAGATGCAACCATAAGATGGCAACTTGCGTGCACTTCCATCTGCTTGACGCCAAGTTCGAGAGCAATTACAAAGTCTTTCAACACTCCAGTCTTTTGGCGAACCTTCCACCAAGACCGCCGAGCAGCATTGTGTCGTATATCCATAACGGTACTAATGACCGCCCGGTCTTCATTCCATTGTCCATCGGAATAGGTATCGACGACACTCAGATCAGTTTTCAGGAGCTCGGACCACTGGTTGATGTGAAAGCCGTACGTGCATTGACTCAGTGCTGCTTTGTTGCTCGGCAGCAAAGCCCGAAGTCGAATAGGTCTAGGTGCCGAATCTGCCTCTGTCGGAGGTACACGCAGGACTGCGTCTGTCCCCGCCGGTCGTATGTATTCCCGTGGCACTGCGCCAGGCGTAATGCAAAGGAGAGGGATTCCCACCACTGCGTCATTGTGGTTCATGGATTGACAGTTGAGAAACCCGATAGCCTGTCCAGTCTCGGTATTGCTGAGACGGAGACGCAACGGCAAGCAACCCCTCGCAGTCTCCAGTCCCTCTATGGTTGAGTCCCCATTTCCCACCGACACTATGTTGCCACTGTGCATGAAAGCAGCAGGGCTAGTGGCTAAAGCGTTGCCGAAAAGATGGATGTCGATATTTTCGGGTTCAACGCCGTCGTTGGAGTCAGGGCTTATACCCCACGCGAGAATTGAATCGTCCGCAGTTTTCTTTATGATTTCTTCCTGGAGTCGAATGAATGCATGCTCCTCTTCCCCATATATCATGGGCATCATGACATCAAAGATCCCCAGGAGACAATATGCCAAGTCTTCCTTTCTCTTTGTGACTCTTTTGGCTGCCCAAGACATTCGCTGTGCGACGCTAGCATTGCTCACATCATCGAAACCAAGGAGAATCCCGTATGGAATACCTGTAATGCTTCTGATAGCACCAGCCAGCTCGTTTTTCTCTCCTAACGGACACCAATCGCAGTCATAGAATCTAAGGCTTCTAGGAGCTAAGAGCTCCTGCAGGGTCCATCCTCGTGTAAACCAACGGCTCGTGTGAAGTTTCTCCAGATCGACTTCTCCGGTACGACTAGAAACGTCCGCAAGGTAAACGTAACAAATAGACGATTCCTTATACCATCGGTACATGGAGTTGATGGCTTCGCCTAGCTCGACAGAGTTGCTTTTGTCGATACAACAGGTGTCAATCCAGACGTAGCTGTGACCATCGGATCTTGCCTGCTTAAAGAACCCATCTAGCTTATTTCCGAATTGTCGCTGGGATGCCTCTTCTTGCTGCATATCCTGGAATGATATCTCCTCGTGGTCCTTTCCCCATGTATGAGACAAGATAGCGTAGCTGGGCGTATCGCTGTGGAATTCTTCCAGCCTGCCTGTTTCAACGTCGATGAGTCGCATGGCAAATACCTGAGACGGCGAGGCTGCCACGAGATTACGAAGACACCGATGTCGACAGGAAGGGACGAGGATGCAAATGAAGCTTTAGACCTTGCGAGACGTGCCAGGGATGGGGGGGGGGGGGGAAAAATTGGGAATGNCCGGGGAGGGGGGGGGGGGGAGAAAATCTGGAATGTCCTCAGACAGACGATACGCGATGAGCAAGCTTGAGGCTGACGATGCTTCAAAAGGTGATAACTTGGCACTGGATAGGATTTGTGCAGGAGGAACGATCAGGCTGCAGCGGACCTTGTCGAGCCGCCTCATGCCGACGTGTCCAAGACAACCATCATCTGATAGGTCAGAAACTCAGAAGCAAGCCCTGCACCTACACGGCGATACCCGTTGTGTGAGCTACATGTAACTGATAAACAGCTGATGCTGATAGGTCGAATTCTGAAGCTCAGCTCAGTACCTGTAGGTGACACAGTACACGGTGAGGCTGCTGACGTGCTATGAAAACCTCCACAAACCTCTCGTTACTCTTCTGCGTTTAGCGCATTTTGATAGGTGTACCAGAATCCCCTGCACCACCATCAAAAACTGGCCTTAGAAAGGGAGAAACAAAAGGGAGAAACAAAAGTGATGAAAACTGCACTTCGGGGGTGTGTCACTGATTTTGACGTCGATAATCAGAGGCCCATTATCCGCAGGCTCCTTCACAGGGATAGACTTTGCTGATTGATCGCGATTGCCCAAGGCTAAGCGGAGCATTGCGGCGTAATTGTAGGCCCTTCCCCATCCCACTTGGCGCACGAGAGCCGTTGAACTCACATTGAGTCGATATTTATGCTTCTCCACGTTTCGCCGGTGGGGAAACATGTCCTCGGGCCCGCGGCAGACCGACCTGCAACTCACCCAACCCGCATACCCGCGGGGTCCCCGACCCTCGGTTGCCGGATTCTTCGGGCCCCGTCCGCGCCGCCCTTGCACCCCGCTGCCGAGATCAATCGACGATGATGAAGACGTCTGTATTTCTACCAGTGAGGAAAGTTAGTGATCGGGTGTATCCCCGACGCAAGATCTACGCAAACGACCAGTAGCATGTTTTCAAGCAAACTGCCAGACTCTGTGCCTCACTGCAATGTTCATCTCACCTCCAAAATAGACGTTCGGCGATTAATTACCCAATCCGCTCCCTCGGGAAGTGGGTAGACGGCATGCCACCGGCGCTGTATCCGCGGACCGCTGAAAGGCCACCCGCCGGGGGAAAAGCCAACATCGCGGATAAGGGCAAGAGTTCCAGACCGTATCCTGTTGGTCGCATCCCACAGAGCAGTTTATATCGTCACTATGTATTCGATGTATAAGAAGCGCATGTTCTCCCACCCCGCGCCCGGGAGACCCGGGGTCCGACGGGCGCCCGACGCACCACCTGACGGATCGTGAGCCCACGCGAGCGGCGTTCTTTTACCTGGTCCAACCCGACTAATCAGCAATTTCAATCAACTCAAAAGCTGATCTTCCTCCTAAGGCTGACGACGTCCCATCGCCCTCGGGCTAACCTTTTATTCCATCTCCGCTCCGCGTTGTCCGTCGGGCGGTTGGTCGGATCAATTGTCAAGCAAACACACACTGGACATGGACCAAGTCAAGGTGGAGCGGGCGGAGGTCGAGCCCCGGCCGGCGGCATTTCGATCGGTGAGTTGGACCAATAAGAAACTACGATGATGAATCATCGATCGATCGAGTTGTTAAGTTGAGGTTGAGGCTAATTTCACTGCATTGGTAGTGCGACTGGTGCCGTTCTCGAAAGGTAGTTGTTGTCCATGCCGGTGTTAGTCGCTAGGCTGCACAGCCATTCTGGTAGGCTGAAATGCGACGACATTTCGGCCTCTCCGTCTCATGCTACAAAGTACACACGATGCTGACCATCCTTGTTAGATTCGGTGCGATAAGGGTTCGCCCTGTACTAGCTGCAAGGTTTCCAAGGTTTCGTGCGAACGAAAGCTCCAACTGAAGCACAGGACCCAAGCACAGAGAGTGCTCATATCACCGGAATAGTGGGTTGCCATCTCCAGCGGGTCCCCAAGTTGCTCTGTTTTTCTGACCACCAGAGACCAACAGTAGGGCCAAGATTGATCGTATTGACGAGCGTCTCGATAAGATCACGCAAATATTGATGGACTTAAAGCAGCAGACCAAGATCCCAATAAAGCAAGAGATGCTGAGTCCCAGGCCGAAGCCGCACCCTCTCTTGGCATCCAAGGTCAGAGCCGAATGAAGGGGAGAGCACAATTCACGATTCAAGCATAATGAAAACGCAACATGGACAATTAGGAGGAGTTCCGGGATGCTCAAATATATTTTTCTACCTCGTAATACAGCACATACAGTTGATGCTTAGATTGGTTGACGATTCGATCGCGCCTTGATTCTTGGTGTAGATAAAAGCTTCGTTCCTATGATTTCCGTTCTGCTTGTTTGTATCAGCTTTTTCAGGGCTACAACGACGCTTGCCAGTTCTCTAGTGTAGACTGTCGACGTCGTGTCGTCACCCACGTGAGATCATCCAATCCGGTCGATATTACTTTATGCAGACTGCTACAGACCCGACACGAACGATCGTTGATGCCACTGTTGTACGAGTGCCTGCTCCGGGCATGGTTGGCGTTCATCTTCATCTTCCTCTGTGCCTTCGACGGCATGAATGGTTATTGTAGTTTTATTAGAACGATGGAAATGGACTTTGTAGTGGGCTACCGAGTGCTCATAGCACACCAAGAAGCTCTGAGCACCCAGTCAGACCTGAAGCGCGCTCATCGCCCGAATAATGCACTGCTCAGGAAATTCGTACGGCATTAATTGATCCTCGTTCAAGGTCGAAGCCGTTGAATAATTGAAATTGTGGGAATTCTGATGAATGATTCCAGATAGACTGTAATGAAAAATACAATGCTTCTTGGAATGAACATGCTTGTACCGTTACGATGTTCCGCCAAATCATAAGGCTAAAACATACTGAACACCTGCACCGCCTGCTTGCCACCTTCCATCAGTAAGTGCCAATCACTCGTCAAAATGCCTTGAAGCTTTATGAACATGAAATACAGTTGTTCAAAGTTCTCCGGCCAATTATCCATTATGGGCACTACGGTAAATGTGAGAGTAGCACTGAGTTTTGAGAAAGCATAACTTACGCAGAGCACAATCTATTCCCAAATATGCATGTGAGTGATTTGAAGTACTTTCTCAGGGGCCAGATACTTACACCGCTACCCAGGCATTTGACAAGAACGGACTCTTCGCCATTATGCGGGCTGTGGCACACTCTGCGCGTCGGGAATGTTTCGGTTTTGTTACCGGGTTCTTTACACTGTACATCTGGTATTAAAAACACTCTTCGAGATAGCGAAGGTGCTCACTTACACAGTAGGTATTGGGCTAGAGCTTTTTAGCTGGCTGTACAACTTTTGTTGTGATATAGTGGGTAAACATACTTGGTTAAGAGAGCATGAGGCTCCTTCGGGTTTGTCCCATCCAGCGTTACAGTGAGCGGCCTCCGTAGCGGCGACCAGAGCGAGAAGAAAAGCCGGGTATTTCATGTTTCAATAACTGATAGCACGTCAAGGCAAAAGTGACAGAAATAATCAATAACTGTTCGCGGGAGAATAAAAAGCTGAACAGATGGGATGTCGGTACGAGAGGGGGGATATATACTAATTGTATGTCAAAAGGATTGCTAGAGAAGTCGGAAGATGAACAGATAGTACTGTCTACTGCCTTAATAAGCGCACAAGATTGAATACAATGCTTTGAGACGTCGATAACCGCGTGTTCAACCTCCTGGCAAATCATCTACATCACATACTCAGCCCTGCCGGGGCTGACCGCCACGGTTTGAGATGATATTAATGTCGCAAGGTATCAGATGTCGGTAAATTTAGTCTCAAGTGATCTTCGAAATTCTCCATCTCGTTCTTCTGTATGTCCATGTATAATTTAGAGCCAAGGTTTCAGGTTCCTTAGAGGGCGTTCCTAGCCTTAGTGTACCTCATGATGTACGACTCGTGACGGCCGCCTACTGGAGGCAATCCGGGAACGGTGTGCCAAAACAGGCATGATTTACCCGAACTTACATCTCTGCCGAAATGTCCCAATACTGACAATGCTGGCTCTTTGTTGATTGTTAGCAGGGGCGGATGTGCCTTGAAACTCAGAACGGCCATCATCCCAGGGCACGTCAAGGTCGAAAATAGCATAGTATCGTGTGTCGGTGAAATTAGTTGGCCCTGGCTAGCCGGAACTGATCGAACTTCTGCAAAAAGGATTCTCAAAGCAGACGTCATTCTATATAAATCGATTGTTATTTCGCTCATTCTTTCATCCCTTCCGATGAGATGACAACTGGTATGAGACAAAACATGGAATAACTTGACAAGTTTGGTCAACATCTCGCCGAATCACTTTGCAATAGTGATCCTTTCCTTGGATCAGTCAAGACTCCAATTTATTCTATGTCTATTCAAATACAACGAAGTAAACTTGACGTAACTTGAACGACTTGAGTACATTGCCGGAGGAAACGTGACCCTATCACCAACCCAATCGTGAAATCGGTTTCGTGATATCCGAATACAGCTGAATGTCAAGCTTTCGAGGGCTTCAAGCGCTCAGCTGTACCAGCCGTTGTATTGGAGCTTGACCTATAGAGACATTGAGTAAGCTGCAAACCAATGGAATGAGGAAGGTGACTTACGAAAGACGAATTGATCTGCTTCAGATCCGCAACCCCAAGGTTCGCAGCATCAATCGCAATCTCATGCTTCAGAAGCTGCGCAGCCCTCGCCACACCCTCAGCACCGTACGTATTCGCAAACATGAATGGGCGCCCCAGGTCAACGGCCTTGACACCAAGCGCAAGCGGCTTCAGTACATCGGCACCGTACCGCACACCGCCGTCGGCAAACACCTCAGTCTGCGTGAAGACTTCCAGCGCCTCTTGATGGATTTCCAGCGCCACTTCCAAGCCTGACGGTGAGCTGTCGAGTTGGCGGGAGCCGTGGTTGGAAAGGATGATACCGGGTGCTCCATGTTCCACAGCTAGCTTAGCATCTTCGACGGTGTCGACGCCTTTGATGATGATAGGCAGGTCGGTCATAGACTGCAAATGCTTGTCGTATTCCCAGGTGTTGTAGGTAAGAGCGGTATCAGCGGAGCTAACGCCGTAGCGGGCTGCTCTGTGGCGGTTACCGTCCGCGGCCGAGTCCACCGTGAAGACGAGGGCTTTGTGGCCTAGAGCCTTGGCGCGATCAAAGATCTCCTGGGTTGCGGTGTCGTTGTGCTCGAGGTAGACTTGTTGGAAGGTCACCTGTCCATCGACTCTGGCGTTGGCAATGTCTTCGCCGGAGCGTGTAGTCCGGAGGGCCGGGATGTAGAGAATGCCTTCCTGCCCTGCACCACCGACGAGACCCAGTTCTCCCTCGGCATGTTCTAGACCGGCACGGCCACAGGGGCTGATGTAGAAAGGGGCAGAGAAGTTGTGACCGAGGATGGTTGTCGGCATCATCGACTCGACCTTGGTGATGTCGACCATGACCCGGGGACGGAAGCGGAGGCGATGGAAGCCTTCTAGATTGTTCCGGTAGGAGAACTCGCCTGCTGCGCCATTGCGATAGAATGTGTAGCTTGACAAGTTGAGGTAGTGGCGGGCTGCCCAATCGAAGTCCCGCAAGCCGACGAGTCGGTCTAAGGGAGGCAACTCGCCAGCTGGGAGATCACCAAAGATTTCCTCGATTCCAGTGTCGGGTTCATTGAGGAATGGGCGAGCTGCGAGAGCGGCGCCGACAAACGACAAAAGAGTGAAGGATCGCATATTGAAACGAGTGCAGCGTCAAATGAGTGTGGTAGATGCTGGTAGTTCAAAGCTCGGAAACATCATTTCACCAGAAAGTCTGACGATGCTCTATGGTTTTATAGCTTGATTCTCAGACTCGCCAGGCTTTAGATCGTACGTACATATGCTGTAGTCATTGAGGTTCGAGACGGAGCTATCCCGACGTCTGTTGCTTCTTTCCTGGTTAGCTATCTGGCTTAACGATGGCCAAGGATCTCATCCAAATTGTAAATTATCACGATGTTCCTTGGCAATCCTTCGCAGACCAATCTTATAAGCTTGTTGGATGCTCACGTTTCCCAGTGGGGAAGGTTGATGCTGCATGGCTGGGGATGGATTTACCAACATGAACCTAGCTAGATTTGGGAGTTCGGAGGAAACGTCCCAAATGAAGTACGACTGATCCATGTGCACACCTAGGATAGCTTGCGATTGGACGTCAACATCAAGATCGGTACCTGATAAGTCCCGGCAATGATTTCAGGTGGTTCGTTTATTGCCATTAAACCTACCGTCTCGGCCCGTCAGGAAGACGATGATCAGCAAGCCCATGATGATATCTAATGTTGGGTTAGCAATCAGGCACCAAGACGGGATTTTGCCATGGCATAGGAAACGTGATCTCGCGGCCTTCAAGACTTCCACAAATTCAGACATAACTGAAGTTCACAACGTTAATCAACTGTTCTTCCTGATGTGGAACTGTTAGTTGGAAATCAACCTTCCATCACCAGAGCTCGGTTATCTCGGTCGCCGACTCCTCCATACAGGAGCGCCTTCTGCTTTCGGAAATAAGTCAGAGCCCGCTACCGTAGAATCAGATGGCGACATGATCAGGGTGTCAGCCATGCTTAACAGGGATACTCTCCCGATGCCCCACGACGAAGTAGTCCGGACGTGGGGGTTTGTTGGCTCACAGGACACTTTATTCAAGAAGCTTAGAAGTCTGTAAGGGATAAATACGAATGAACGCCTTGATTCGAGTTTCCTTCAATCTGGAGTATTGTCCACAGAAAATGGGGACGACAATTCTTGGCAGAGAGAAAAGGGGAAACTTCATCATCGGGATCATGCCGTCGTGTTCGGCAACAAGCCGGTCCCACTTCAACTTGACAACCACTACAGTTTCAGCTAAGCTACCATAGACGCGATGACTAGGATACTAGCTGTGGCACGGTATTTATCAACATGTCATGATTAACGCGACGAGCTCGGTATGGGAATGCCATAAGGTAACCTGCCACTATTGCCTTTGCCTTAACTTCAGCCACATAAACACAAGAGCTACAAAAAGCGCCAGAAATAGTCCAAATGTCGCGTCCAGAGACGTGTCCTCCGTCGAACTTTGAACCATGCTAGGTCTATATATGGTCCTCTCCGCCAAGCGGTGAGCTGTCTGTGGGTCGTGAGCAGGGAGGAGCACAACCTTTTCGCTACTTGCGAATTCCTTAACTTTCCTCAGAGAATCGATTGCCAGGGCTGGATTGTTGTTGACGCCATCCGTGAGCTCCTTGTCAAGTAGATCTTGATCATATGTAGCATCTCCAAGCAGGAGATACGTAACGTCATCGGCGTATACAATCACCGACACATGTCCTGGCACATGCCCGGGTGTGTCAACAGCCACCACTTTCCCGTCATCGGTTATAGGATAGCTCTGGTTCCATGGTCCAATAGGGCCACCGGTTGGCTGAAGGAGTAGAGGTTTGAACGTTTCTGGCCATTGATTCGGAACAGCCCCTTCAATTGTAGCATGGATTGGCTTCCCGTATGCCTGCCAATGTTCTTCAGTGATCCAGACTGGTGCTCCAACCAGGTCTGGTAGCCCGTCGCCGTGATCATGGTGAAGATGAGATAGTACGACTGCCTTGAGGTTGGCAGCTGCAAGGCTCTCCTGCTCGAGAAGAGAACCGATGCCCTCGTCCTTTCCGACATTGATATCGACAGCAAAGTGGAAAAAGGGCATCCAAAACGGAAAGTATCCCGGTTTCAGAGTGTTCGCAGACTCGCCAGAGTCGAATAGGATGTGTCCCTCGGGATGATCGATTAGGTACGTATTGATTGGCAGTGGCGGTGTCCAAGACCTGTCAAGAAAGACTGATAGGCGACGTAGAAGTACAGCTTTCTTTGCAGGCTGATGGCGGTGGGAAGGGCGGATTCATATGGTCCCTGTCTGGAGAATCTTGATGCTGATGGCCATCTTGAAGGTTTTGTCCAAAGGTATTGTCGATTTCTGGCAAGAGCATGGCAGTTGGTTCATTCCCAAAAATTAACTAGTCGTGGTGAGATGAGATGGTTATTTACTTACGCCCGCAAATATTGGCTCTGGGTGGTTAGAGGCAGCGGTGATGATGTAGCTACTGAACCCCGCCCTACAACCTGTAAAGTGGATACATATCAGAGTGTTCGTGCCGGTGGCATATTCGCTCTGGGCCTATGATCTTCAGTGATTGTGGAGGATGGTGTCTCTTAGTCCGGGGTTCCAAATACCTGAGCTTGAGAAAGCATCAGTAGCGCGGGGACAGGCGTGCGCCGTTTTCCGTGGTCGGAAGTGTCAGCCACCGACTCCCGACTTCATACCTTTGGACGGCAGTTCCTGTTGAACGCCTCGTATTGCCACCCATCACGCTAGTGAACCAACGTCTGGATCTCATCAGGTGTACAAGAATGTAGAAATAGAGCTATGCGTCTTTTGGGTGAGCAGTTGTCGGAACTGCTATTCTCTGCGACAACCCATGCGGTGTCAAATTGGACTTCATCGCTGAGAGCCCAATTCGTCAGCGAGGGCGAACGCAGCGCGACGCCCCTGCTCAATAGCCCCATCTATATAACCAACCCAGCCATCGGCCCAGTCCGACCCAGCAAGAGTAAGCCTTCTAGACGCTCTCCTGTTCTGCATGAGTGTACCGAGGGTTTCCGAAAGGACCTTGGCAGGGTAGACAGGCCAAGCCCCTTTGGAGAACTGGTCGTTCCGCCAATCATGCCAGAGATACTCGTTGAGGGCGTCATCCAGGATCGTCAATGGTGGCCGACCGGGTGCTTCAAGATGGGCGCTCTTGAAGGCAACTATGTTGACACCCCCAGTGTTAGAAGCAGACTCAGTAATGCCAAAGCAGGCAGTTTTGGAAGGAGTAGTAACGCCAAAGAATTTAGCCGCGCATTTTGATGAATGCACGTGAAGCTTTCCGCCAAAATTGTAGTGCCCGATCGAGGCAAACGAAGGAGGCAGGGCAGGTATGAATTCGATATCGGCGAGGCAATGTACTGGGACGGTGCAGATAACGTGACTGGCAGAGAACTCTTGGCCACCCTTGACCTGAACGTTTGCACTTGTCGAATGCGAGGTGATAGCAGTGATATGGCGGTTGAACAACGACGCACCCTTGAATTCGGCAAAAATCATTTCGGCTAGCGCTGTGGTTCCTCCGGGAATCTTGAAGGCTCCGTTGATCTCAAGATATCGCTGGAAGTTGTACCCAGAGAGTGCATAAAGCCATAGCAGATTTAAGAACCCAATTTGGGATATGTCAGTCAGGCCTGAGGTCGACATCCATATTCTGAGTAGCCCTTCTCCTTGCTCCGTGACATTCATCTGGTTTATACGCTCTTCGGCGCTGATATCCTACACGGCGATTGCTTTGTGGTTGAGGAGAGGTCGAGTCGGCTGAGGCATAACAATTCGCCCGCCATGGCCGTCGACGTCGAAGAAAGCAGCTGCGATAGGGGCAAACGAGGCGCCCGCCTCCTGCATGCTCTTCAGGTTGCCATCAGTAATCAATGGACAGTCCGGCTCCATGCCAGCACTCTTCTCGGTCGCCGTGAGACCATATTGACACATCTCACTCCACACGTGAGGTTGCAGGTGGTGGACCCAGCGGCCGCCCATTTCGTAATCATCGTTTTGCCCTTTTGCAGTCCATGTACGGCCGCCGATGCGATCCCGAGCTTCGAGAAGAAGTACGCTCAGGCCTTGTAGAGATAAATCTCTGGCGGCTAGCCCGCAAAGCCAGCACCAATGACGATGACGTCGTGAAATTGGGGTACATCATTAGAGTCGGGCTTGACGGCTGCTGTGGGGAGGCCTGTGTTGACAACGTTACGCTTGAAGTCCCAAGAGCTGCCTTCTCTGGTTCGAAACGACATATTGGATGTTGACTTGGAATGTCGCTTTGGCGTGGGCAAGATCATATGATGAACTTTTAATTGCATTACGCTTGGCTGCTGACAGGTCAGGCAAACAAGAGAATTAATTGAATCACATAGAGAAGACGAAACCTTTCTATTATACCTCGTTGTCGTTGATCAGCTTACACGTCATGGTTGAAGGCTATGATCCAGGAAAGTCCGAACGTTCGAATGGCCGCGTCTAGTTCTCGTTTAAGTAAGTAATGATGAACTATTAGTTTCGAAGGTGTAGAGACGGGAAGAAAGATTCTCAAAATGCCATGACTTTCCGGATCGCGCGGGCTACCGAAATATAGCAGTTGGTGAAAATATCGGACGATGACAACACATGGAACTCAAAGACCAACTGACGATCAAGTGGAAACAAACTATTCTTCAATTGGAACCCACAGCCCATAATGTTCGGCGGGCAAGACGTCAATCTCATTGTAATAGCTGCGAAACATGTTTTCCAAGCAAGGTCTTGGTCGGCTTTGATGAGAGCCGATGGCCGCAAGGTCTCTCTGTAAGCTTGCCGAGCAAGTCTACTGAATGGCAAGAAGCTGGCGGCAGTCTGCAATTCGCCATGAAAGCTGATATATCACAGATGCTGTTGCAGTATTCAAATTTGAGATTCATACTGATAGGCATCGCGAACAACCGCAGGCACACAATATTTCAGACCATGCAGGTTAGACCAGCAAAACTTTCTAATAAAAGCTTTGCCTTAGCCAACGAGTTCATTCTGATCTAGGTGCCAGGTAGGAAAGCTATTGGAAAGAGTAATTTATCGGATTAATCCATTATCCGAGAAGCTTGCGCGCCTTCATTACGCCTTGAGAATGTTCCATACTTACTTCGACCGACCCGCAAATCTCGTTAGGTCTACCGCATCTTCACGGCACTGGTAGCCAAGTCCTCGTAGGGAAAGGGAGCTCCAGTCCCGAACTCCTTGAGAAGACTAGGAGTAACGCCAGCGTAGTCTACGAGTGGCTTCCTGCTGGCAAAATCGGAAGCGGGAACCTTACAAGTCATTATTAGCGAAAACTGACAGAACGCGGGGTGCCCCCTCATATGATTAATAAAGAACGGGAAGTCTTGTTTCAACTCACCCAATTACCATGTACACCCTCTCGGATTCTGAACGGAAGCTGGATAATGCTCACAGGACCCGCCGTAATATCTCGCGTATCCAGAATCACGAGGCTTCCAAGGGTTGTGGTGTGGTCGCGACAGGAGACGACCAGGAATCCATCCGCTTCAGGCGCATCCGCGGAGCGTGGGACGAAGCAAGGCTCTCCAACCGTCACGTCCGGGCCTGCGCTCCACACTTTTGTGGTTCCGGCGGCGATGTCAATGTGCAGGACGGCACCGAAACCCCGAGGTGTGGGGCCGCCTGACCCGAAGGCATGGTTGTAGGGCTTCGTGGTGTAGCGGTCGTCGCAGCGGGCCATCTCGCCGGCCACATCACTGATGATGGTCGGCGGCTCCATCTCCGTACTGTCGGCGGTTGGGTCAATCTTGAACCTGACGAACTTGCCCACGGGAGGACGGTGGCCGGGGTTGTGCGCAGACTCGAGTTCGGGATGCTGGGTTGGGAAAACGCCGAGTGCATCTGTGTCGTGGAGGAAGGTATCGATGTAGATGCAGCCGTCATCACCCTCGAAATGGTTACTCACGTGGCCCCAGTAGTGGTTCTTTAGCGAGGTAAACCATCTTGCGTCCTCTGGTTTGGGGCCACGACGTGGAAGGACACCAAAGTGATTGGCCTTTGGTAGTGTGGAAGGAATTAGCCTACGGACGTTTTTCGCCGATAAGGACGGGTCTAGAAATTGCTTACAAGGAAAGGGTTTCGTCGAAAATGAGTTCCGTTGGCCTCCTTCATGTGCTTCAAGTCGAACTCGTGCGGCGTCATCCCGAAGATAACATAACTGGACTTTCACGTGAGCATCTGTTCTCGTTTCGAAGCATTACAAGCCCCAAAGTTTCAGGGGAGTTTGGTAGCACACTTGTCAGTTGCGGCCATGTCATGGGTCCAGGTGACGACCGGAGTTTTGATCCAACACTCATCCAGCAATTTCCCCTCTTTGCTGAACCTGTAATAGGCAAGGTCATTCGAGCTGAGTGGGTGAGGTCAATATATGCCTAAGAGAGTCCACATTACAGTCACGTACCCAAGCCCAGCAGCTTCCATGCCGAAACCGAGCATCTCACCAGTGGAAATATCCGTCTTGGGGTGGGCGCAAAACGTCTTGGCCGTCATTTGGCCCTCGAAGTCGTACACCCCTGTGAGTTTTCTTTCAGCTTCTCTTCCTTTTTCTCAATTTGAAGGAAATAGGGCCCCGTGTAAATTACCAATCGTGTCCAATGTGTCAGGGTCCACGAGCAATGGCGGGCTATCTTCCTTGAGGACGAGCAACCTCTTCTGCCACCACTGAACATGCGTGTTGCCCGTAGACTGAATCTGGTCAAAGACTCGCGGGTCTCCTGCATAAGGGTTTCGATACGTGCCCCAAAGTGGCTTGCGAGCCGCCCGTTCCAGGATGAAGCGCGGGGTCCGAACGAACTTCTGCTTGAAGTCGACCACGCCGTTCGAGATTCTCCAAGCGTTCACGGCACCATCGCCATTGATCCAGATGTCATGTCCATTACGGTTGGCAAACACAAAATCGCAGATGATGCGGTAAAATGTCCCGTCGATGCATTCGGGGATGTTTCCGTGGACGACGCACGAGGCGATCTCGGCGTCGAATCGGCCGGGATGATTAACGGGCTGGGCGCACAAAGGGTCGGCCGCCGCGAATTGGAACTCGCTACTAATGGGCAGATTCTGCCTTTTCTCATCAATGGTTGCAGAGAGATCGGATGCCACGACTTGAGTGTTGTGGCATAGTCGCTGGAAAGTGTCCCACTGCGGAGGGGTTGGTATTTTTTCGTCAGGCATTGCTGATATTTGCAGATGAAATCTCACATAATCAACGAGCAACTATCATCAACATGCCCAGCCAAAGATCATCTCTTTCGATGGTACTCAATGTTGCATTTAAGTACATCATGAAACAAATTACTCAGCGGGCAGTCGTTGGATTCGCCGACCGTCTGGGGAGACAATAAGCTTCACCCGTGAACTGGAAGAAAACACATCATTGTCGCGGGCCATGATCAGTGTCGCAGATCGCGCCCCCAGCTGACGTGGTGCTGAAGCTCTCGCCGATCATGATGCCATGCAAACTTGCGGCGACACCCATTCTGCTGGCTCCCTATCTCCCCGCCGAGCTTGCGGTCTTCGCACAGCCCGGAGGCCGGAAGTGTCTGTGCGCTCGGAAGAAATCTACTCCAAGAGGACTCTGAGTTGAACATGATCGCCGCAGGGAGATCTTAATCAAGGCTGGCGTCCCCGAAACAAGGCCAAGCAATGTTACATGGATGTGCACTCTGGCGCAGTCAATTGGATCACATCCACATGCTTTTGTCACTCATTCTCAACTTACGTATATCCATGAACAGCTGGACCAAGTCAGCCCGCAAGTTCAATAAACGGGCTATTGAATTACGGGGTACATTTCACGCCACACAATTCTTGTAGACCCATGTCGTAGCTAGCTGTGAGCAACTACAGATGAAGCGTTCATAGGGTAAGCTAATTATACATTGGCATTAAGAACGCGTCATCGTTGATCCCGAACAAATTGGCAAACACTGAACACTCACGAACTTTGTCAATTATGTACCCCCTACAGCAAGTCCTTCTTAAGATGGCAAATTATGATTAATCAATAGTAGAATACCAACAAGCCTGGGTAAAAATTATCATGTTGCTTGATTTTGGAGGTGTTATCCCAGTTATGATCGCGTTGAGGGTTTCTATCGTGTTACGGCACGGAAGGGGAAGGGGGCGGGGCCGGAGTGGCGCGGGCGGGGCCGCTTATAAGGAACCGGGAGATAGCCGCGCGCAGAAAGTTTAGCAGGGCAGGTTTAAATACATCGAGCCCTACGCCCAAAGGGGCATTCCCTACTCTAGAACTCTGTTCGACACTTGGACTGACACACTAGGTACGTAGGATCTAAAAACAATGGATATCACAGATTGTAGTGGAACGGGGTTTGGTGGGCCCACTGGATTTTTCGGCGTTTTCGGCGTTTAGAGGTCAGATTACTAGCCCCCTTCAAGGGGCGAGAAGTTAGCTCAGACATCATCATCAATCCTCATAGATCAGAAGCAGAATTCACTTATTTTTTAGCGGATTTTCGAGCTTTTAATCCCATTCTTTTTATTTTAGATCTATAAAGTAGATAAGAAGTCCTTTCCTTTCTCTTTTAAGATCGTAGGCCTTAAAACCGTAGAGTTACGTAGTTATAGTAGCTATACGCGCCCGAGGGCGCGTACGCGCTGCTGCGTTGCATAGCTCTCGGCCGCCGGGCCTACGACCATTTCAGTAGTAAGATCAACATGCTCCTGTAGCTGAAAGGCCTTTTGACATGACAGCAGTGCTGCTGAGCACCGAGTTCGTCAATTTCATTGCCAGTAATAAAACGTCAATTTTGTTAGGTGATTAATAGTGTAGCTCTCATTTTGCTTCAAGTAATAGTGTATAGGAGCATTCAACTTTGTAGTAGTTGAAGTTGTTCGGTAATCGATTTTTCATCCTCGCGTTCGGTTTGAACGTTGATCAAGTCGCCCACAGAATTTAAGACGACCAGCCATACAAGCGCCCATGTTGGTTCAGATTCTCTCCATAACCCTCACTCTACAATCTCAGCCCCTATGTATCTTGTTTCGTATTCAAGCAGTAAGATGATGGTCGTTCTCTCCTACTTGTTGCGTTTATTTCCCCATCTGGAACCTGAGAGTAACTGTTGAATCAAATGTGTCATGTACTCGAAACCACATTAGTCCTGAGGCAGAATTCAAACAGGTCTTCTGTTCACTACCGAAACCGACCTTTACATTTTCGCCAGTAAGCCTTGAAGTAATGGACCTTTGACATCCCCTGGAAGCACCATCGCTCTCAAGCAATCGCCTACCATGGCCCGCCAGTTTAAACAGACTCGCGACTCATGCGACAAGTAGTGCCGTGTTGCCGATGAAGGCACTACCTAAGACTGTCAATAGCAATCTGCAGAACGTCGTACTTGACAGCAGCCGCAGCAGAATATTGAATGTGATATGGCGATATCGAACGCATAGCCATTCTCATCAAAAAAGGGAAACTCTGAATTGCATGGCCTTGCGCAGCTGGTGCACCCCCGTTTTTTGAGTCAATATCCCAGCCCCTAAAAGGCCCCAGAAAACACGACGAACCGCCGAGCCCCAAAATTAGCATGGTTCGCCAATCAGGGGCCCCAACAGTGGATCGTCCTCAAAACTGAAACGAGACAGTCGACTTCGGTCTCGTGAAAATCGTCGATTGGTCCTTCTGGAATGGCCGTCTTTCACCCCCCAAACCACCCAGACCACCCAAAACTCGCGGCTTAGCCCGAGGCGTTCTGCATCTGTAATTATGAAACTAGCGAGATGTAGTATTGAGCAGCTCGGTATCGAGAAAGCAATGATTCTTGTTAGGCGTTTTTTCCCCAGCTCCCTGCTCGTGTCTGTAGGATTTTGAAGTTCTTTATCTCTTGGTGTCCCCATCGAAAGCAAAATCCCAGGATGAAGTCTACATCGCTCTCTGTTTTCCTCTGTATTCGACTGGCTGTTTGTTTACATCCTCTTGGCTGACTACTCTCCTTTTTGTGGAATTTGTCATAAATCTGTGTTGAATTTTCGTCTTCATCGTTTCGATCCTAAGCCCGACGACAACCCTTCCCGACGACCCTCCCCGAAGGAACCAAACCGCCATCATGGGCGCGAACTTGGGAGCGAAAATCGCCGGAATCGGTGCCGGGTTGAAGAAAGATGCCAACTTCTCCCGCGTCGGCTCGGGGGCCAAGATTGGAGTGAGGACTCTCCGTGCTGGCACGGGTCGCTACTTCCTCAACAAGGTTCCCGTCTTCATCTGGATCTCATCGTACGTGCCCGCCTGGCTCCTGGGGGATTTGGTCGCCGGTGTGTCGGTTGGGCTCGTCATGTTCCCCCAGGCCCTCATGTACTCGGCCTTGGCTGGTGTTCCTATCCAGATTGCACTCACCTCGTGTTGGCTGCCGAACATTCTTTACGCCGTGATGGGAACTTCGAAAGGTAAGGACACACACTTTTGTGCTTCGTAAAAGGCGTGGTGATATCCTCTTGACTAATCATCACGGGAAACCAGATGTCTCCTTCGGGCCCATGTTCTTCCCCTCCATCATCATCGGCGGCATCAACACCGCCATGCCCAAGCCCGGCCCGCCCCCCGCCCTGGTCGCCGCCGTCCTCTCGCTCTGCGCCGGCATCTGGTCCGCCCTCTTCGGCTTCCTCAACCTTGGCTTCCTCTTCGACGCGCTCTCGGTCCCCATTGTGCTGGGCTTCGGCTGCGGCATGGGCATCATGGCCTACATGGCTCAGGTTCCGCTCCTCTTCGGCATGGTCGGCGTCAGTCCCATGCTCTCCCACCTCACCGGCGAATTCATCGCCAACCTGCCCAAGACGAACCCCTTCGCCGTCGCTCTCGGCTTCGGCACCATCGTCTTCCTCGTCGTGCTGCAGAAGGTCCAGAAGAAGCTCGGCGCCAAGAACGAGATCGTCCGCCTCGTCACGAGCAACCGCAACCTCTTCATCCTGCTGCTCACGCCCTGGATCACGTACATGGTCAACAAAGACCGCGGCGACAAGCCGCTGTGGGTGTCCGTGTCGCCCGTCGAGACGGAGGTCTCCTTCGTCCAGGGCATGAGCTTCGATCTCATCAAGTCGCTCTTCTTCCCGAGCTTCATGGTCTGGTTCGGCATCGCCCTCGAGCACATCCTCGTCGCGAAGGGCCTGGGGCGCATGCGCGGCTACAAGGTCGACCCCAGCCAGGAACTCGTCCACCTCGGCATCTCCAACATTGCAAACTCCTTCATGGGCGGACTGCCAGTCGGCGGCGGCGACATCACCCGCGCCAGCGTGGCCGCAACCTCGGGCGTCAGGAGCCCCATCTCCGCGCTCTTCGTCGCGGGAATCGTCGCTGCCGGCATGTACCCCCTGAGCAGCTTCATCGAGTACATCCCCCTCCCCGCCGTCGCGGCCATCATCATCGTCGCCGTCATCGACACCATGCCCTCGCCGGGCGGGATGGGCAAGTACTGGGCGTGGTCCTTCGCCGACTTCATCACCTTCCTCCTGACCTTCAACGGCGCGTTGATGGCGACGCCCCAGATCGGCTTCGAGCTCGGCGCCGGCGTCCTGGTTATCTACACGCTCTGCCGCTTCATGAGCTCCCGCCCCAAAGTCATGCTGGGCGTGGACCTCGAGGGTCAGCCGGGTGTGTTCTCGCTGCCGTGCTGGGAGGCCGGGGAGAATGTGCCGCCTGGCGTGTGCGTCCTGTCCCTCGAGAGCGATCTGATGTACGCCAACGCCGAGGGGGTGCGGAACCGCATCGTCGACACCGCCATGATCTGGCACGCCTCCGTGCCGTCGACTGTCAACAAGAACGACCGCGCCTGGAGCGACTGCCGTGACAAGCGCGTGGAGTACCTGCGAAAGCGCGCCAACCTGACGCAGCCGGAGTACCTGCTCCCGGCCCTTCGACTCGTCATCATCGACATGACCAAGGCGCCCTTTATCGATGCGTCCGGTCTCCACGCGATTGAGGATGCGAAGGCTGAGCTGCGGGCTTTTGCGGGTAGCGGCGTCGAGTTCCGGTTTGTGGGGGTGAGCGATGCGGTGAAGCGCAGGTTCGAGCGCGCGGGCTGGAAGATTGCTTCTCCCTACGATGACGATCAAGAGCAGCAACAGGAGCAGCAGCAGCCCGAGGGCGAAGAGGTTGCTCTCCCTGATTACATCTTTGACCATTTGCCCACTGCTATTCGGACGCCCACGAGGGCAAGGAATGTCCCGGATCAGGTACCCCTGACGCAGATGCAGTCATGGGAGGGAGATGATTACAGCTTTCAGAAGGGGCACACCATGTAAAGCGGCTGGGGGTGAAGAAGACAACAGGCATGTAGTTGAAGAGATGTAAGATAGTACCGGAAGATATGAATGTGCGCTAAAGACGGACTTTGGCCGTTGAATAAGCATGCGGCGCGTGTCAGTCTGTAGGATTCATATTCACTTATACATCTCATCATGGGTTTCCTTTGTTTCTTGCATTCCCTTCGAATTTTCTTGGATTTCATAGACTATATAGATTACCACTAGAGGCCATTTTCCTTAAAGAGAGGAATCAACCGGCATTCAATAATACACATACACAAGGCCCTGAAATAGGCGTCAATCACACGTAACCCCTGTATTGATTTGTTCGTCTCTGAGGTATTCACATTAATACTTCAAGAACTCCCATTATGGTCCTACAGAATTCATTCTCCGAGGCACGACCAATAATCATCCTCAGGTAGGATAGGAGGCATGCAACTCAATATCTTCCATAGTTTGCACACACTCGAGTGTTCGCAAGCACTGTCATCATTGTTCCTACAAAGCAGAAAGACACATCGAGAACCCAAGTGTGCCTTTTAATAATAAACAGAATCTCATTTCAGAAGCATAGATGTTAATCTTTAGGGACCCTATCGCTATAAAAGAGAGATGGAGCAGCGTAAGAGGGACCCGTTTGACCAGCAATCAGTCGTCGGTCTGAGAACTTTGATGTCTTGCTTGTAAATAACAGGTATCACACGTAAAGAGCGTGACACTCCCAAAGCCCCCTACGTTGGAGCAAAACAGGTCATTCCGGGTTTCCTCGTCCTGACGGTTTTTCTATGGTGTATACACTTCTAATAGGTACAAGACATGGTTCTCACTGATGGACACGTATCGGGCTTGATGCGAAGATCCGTAGCTGCTGAGGAGGACTGCATTCTGTTCTATCAAGACAATACGTTGAAGAGAGATGCGATTTCCGCATCAATGAGAGACACGGCTTTACTCCTGCAGCTTCCAGGTTCAACTTGCTTCTAGTTTGTTTATATAGCATATTCGTAGCGGTGACGACGAGTACCCCATGTCTCGTTTCTTTGGAACAACGATACCGAATTTCTCAAAACAGCTTTTTGAAATTCCTGAAAAAGAAAGCCCAAATGATGGTATGCTGCTGCAGTGCGGCAGCATCTATCCGCATTGGAAAACAGCAAGCACGCCGCCCAGTCGAAAGTCCCCAAACCCGCCCAGTTTGGACATCGAACGTTGACTCATGTTGTTCCAGACATCTGTCACCTCGCTCTTTCGAATCCGAATACTCGCAAAAGGACACCCAAAGACAGAACCACGGAACGAAACAAACGTTCCTCAAACCCCAGCTTCGCCCCCTCTGCAACTTTACCATCAGGAAGCTGAGATGCAAGGCTGCCGGATGTTCTGGGGCGACATTTCTTGTCTTGCAAAAGCGCCAACAACTCCGAATCAACCGCCCCTTGATCCACCAATTCAAGTCTCATACAACCTCAGACCACCACAAAAATTCACTAAAGACCAGGTATAAAACAGCATATACACTCGCTGTGACTCATGAGCCATCAATTAGATCTCCTTGAACTGAGCTTCAAGTTCTTTCACGTCTCATAGGACCGACGATGTGGGTTCTCCACAGGTGCCACATGCCACATCCGTGACAGATTTCCAAAACCAGCCAGCCCCCGGCTCGTTCGGATTCGGTTCCGCACTCGCCACATCCCTGCAGTCCATCATCCTTGGACTTCAGCTCGCGATTATCCGTCTCACCTCCTTTTCCTTCAGCCGCCGCTGATCTTCATGCTTCAGAATTCTCACCTGAACGGTAGCATGGCTACTGCGTCTTCGTTGCAAAAACAAGATTGTAGACAACCAGACGATTTTGGGCCTTCTTGCCAAGAAGGAAAAAGGGGTTTCCTGCCTCCGTCGGAGATTTTAAACCCCAGGCAATATCCTAGTCACGATCACTTTCGAGTTCCATCGGCCACAGGAATTTCGATGTAAATCTGGTATCAAGTCTTCATATTGACATAGGGACTGACCACCCCCCTCATTAAAAACCCAAGAAAAACAAGCCCTCCTGGCTGGATGCCCATATACTCATAAATCGTGCTGTCCACCTCATGCGGCCCATGGCCTCTCCTCCTCCGTCACTCTCCTCTGTTGCACGACCAACTCCTCATATGTATCGGGTAACCTCGGCCACTGCGGCTGTGACCACTCTTCGCCCGCCGGCACAGCGGGATACCCGCTCTTCATCGTTAAAACAGCATCGACCGTCTCCTGGATCTCGTCGTCGTCGACTTCGGAGTCCGCCTCGTCGAGAGGGGTACACGCTTGGAATGGCTGCTCTCGTCTGACAGCGTCGACAGCATCCTTGATAACCTCCTCCCACCAGTCGACCTCGTCCCAAGCGGCATCCGCTTCCTCCTCGTCCAACACAACCTCTTTTACTTCCACTTGGCCGGTGGTATCAACCTTTTCGAGCGCATTCTGGTCCTCGTCCACTTCGTCGCCGACTTCGAGAATCTCGGGCTGCGTCGGTTCGGGTATCCTTCGCCCTGGCTGCATCGCATGGACAGCCTCGATTGGCAACCCAGTGATGATAGCCACCGCCGTCTCAACGCCCCTCTTCACCGCCAAGGCGCTGAGAAGCATCTTCAGCGCATGTTCCCATCGTCCTTGCAGCATAAACATCTTGCCTCTGCACCACTCATATTTGATGAAATTCCGATGTTGACTCGGCCGGGCCCAATACTCCCTCTGAAGCTGTGCATACGCAATCAGCGCATTCATCTTGTCGCCAGCCAACTCGTACAGATACGCCAGGTACTTGAGAATGTTCCGAATCTGCGCCTCGTCCCTGTAGTCGTCGGATGCCGCGCGCTCAATTTCGAGACACTTGCGGTATTCATATGCTGCTTCCTCGTGATGTCCTGCGGAGCGCAATGTGTGTGCGAGGTTGATCCGAGTTTCGAGGGTCTGTTCCACTACGCGCGCGACGTCGCTGGCTTCGCGCCTGCACATATCACGAAGAATAACTATGGCTTCGTCCCATCTGCGAAGCGCCTTGAGCGCCGTGACATGGTCCTCCATATTCCTCAAGGTCACCGGGCTGCAGATGCCGAATCTTGCCCTGTGTTCGTCCAGTACTCGTTGGAACCTCCTGCACAGACCAATCACCTCGTCATACTTTTTGAGTCGTAAGCTCGTCAGTCGTGCCAGCTTAAGCGTCCATTCGCCGTTGGCGTAGTGCAGCAGGTCGGCTGCTAGATCCATGTTCGCAATCTCGTCCCTCGCTTCCTTGTCCTTGCCGCGCTCCGAAAGACACATGGCGATGTTGTAGTCGATGGCAGCCTTTTCTTCGTGTCCGAAAACCGGGACGTCTTCGTTCCAATCCCTGGCTATTCGGTAGGCCATTTCGGCCTCCTCGTATTTGTCCTGGTTGACTAGCATGCTTGCCAAATCACGCTGCGCTTCAATGGTTGTGACGTGACGCTTGCCCCTCCTTTTCACGAGCGTGGGAACCAATTCGCGCAGCAGCTTCTCGCCTTCTGCCCAACGGCTGGTGTAGTAGTAAATCTCGCCCAACTCAACCATTGAATGCAAGCAAAAGTCGCGCCATGATCCTGTGAATAGAGTCCAGCGGAAGGTCTTGCCAGGTCGTTCTCGGCTCTTGCGCAGTAGCCTCTCCGCCAAATGGGCCAGCTCCTCTGCCTCGGCAATGTCACCCATGTCCTCGCGGCGCACAAGGGTGTCACCGAGCAGCAGCACGGCGCGCATCAGATAGAATGTCTGGTCTTCGCTTTCCGGCAGCCCCTCGAGAAGTAGCTTCGCCATGCGCAAGTGGTGCTGTGCCGAGATCCAATCCTCCGGGGTTTGGTTGCGGTAGGCATGGCCGACGCTCAACAGCGCCAGGCCCTCGGTGAGGGTGCCCAGGCCGCGGGATTGATTCAAAGCAAAGTTTCCCAGACGCAGTGCCAGCGACCATTTCCCGCGAATCTTGAGGAGCTCAGAGATGCCCAGCAAGGTGAGGACGGAAGCCTTGTCGGAGTTGCGGCTCGCCGCCCTCCATCGCGGGGCCTTGGTGAGGCGCATGGCGGATGGGGTTGTTGGGCTGGCTCACCGCGTCGGGGGGTTGAGTGGGGGAGATCGCCCCGGGGATGGTGCCTGTCTGCCGTCGGAAATCGTGGGAGTCTGTTGGGGTTCGTCAAGGGCTGTCGTCGATGCTCGGCGGTGTCGATTGTGGTGGTTTGTCGTGGAAGATTTTGAAAGCAAAAAAATTAAAGTCGGGTTTGTGAAACCAGAGAACCCAGAGAACGCCGAGAAGCCAAAGGACAAGATGCAAAGGAATGCGACCGTTCGAATCGGGTCGGTTGGTGAGATGAAAGTGAGTCAAAATTTGATGAGTGACAGGCCGACAATGAGGGGAGCAGAACGAAGCCGTGGCCGACGCTCCCTGATCAGCCAGATCCAGCCAGTCCGGAGCTCTCGCAGGCAACCGGGCCGGGAAGTTCGAGGAATGGAAGGAAATGAAGAAGTGAGGATGAGGAGAATGGGTGTTCTCTGGTGGAGTTTGGCCACCACATCAGCCGAACCGTTGCGGTGGATGGACAGCAGAGGCAGACGGGTGCCAGGTAGCTAGGCCACCTCAGGAAAGGCGAGGTGAAAGTGCGTGTGGGTGGTCGAGCAGAATTCTCGTCTGGTGCCTCTGGCTTCTGGCTGGCGCCTCGACGGGCTTGACGGGCGGCGTGATCAAACGAGGCGAGACAAGGCGAGGGTGAGCGGCGGCAGGACGGCAGGGCGGCAGGACAGGACGGAGCTTACTCCTGCAGGTTGCAGTTGCAGGCCACAGGGCGACCGATCTCCCTTGGCCGTTTGCCTTTTTTCGTCCTTTGCCTGAGCGACATGAAGGAATATACCTAGCAACTTAGCATAGTGCGATACTCCATTGGGGTACTAATGGCGGTGCTAAGGCGGCAAGGAGGGGGAATTGATGGAGACGGGGGCTGGACTGGACC